AGCAGAATGACTGGTTTCAATTTGGACTTTTTTTTTTTTTTATTTCCAAGTCTTTAGATGAAGAGTCTGTATTATATCTTGTTCTTTGTGAGCAGCTGTGGAAGCTTCCCGAGTGGTGCATGTTCCTTTTATACCGCCCTTACTGCTTTTAGCCTCTAGGTGGATATTGGGTATGTCCCCTGGGCTATTTGCAGCCCCATGGCTGGTCAGTGTGAAGGGGAAGGAGAGGAAAAGGAGAGTTTGGGAATGAGAGCATCCCAGGAAGCGTGTGCCTGATCCCAGGGGGTTGCTGGTGGCTGGGTTTGGCCAAGTGCATGCGTATGCGTGTGGCACCTCTGCCACTTTGTCCCTACTGCTTCTCCCATCCAGCTTCTTAGCATGGGAAGAGCAGTCCGGCATCTCGATTTTCATGTCATCCTGTGGTGGATATGGATGTATTGGAAAGCCTTAGGATACGGAGACGAGGTAGTCTTGGTACAGTATTATTTTCCCTGCTGCCTGCATGCCATGGGGACCTCTGTGTTCATTCGTGTACTGGTGCTGAGAAAGGCAGGATGCAAACTGCTCAAACAGAACAATGCAGCATCTATTTATTAAGTTATTCCCCACCTTCCCAAAGCCAGGACTTAGAGAGCTTGAGCTCACACTAACCCAAGACTCCTTAGTTCTTTATTGGAGAAAATAAGTAAGGAGAAACTGATGGTTCTTGCTCTGTAGATCTCCAGATGTTTTCGGTAGGGATCCAAAATATCTACTTGGGCTATCACAGTGCTAGACAACTGTCTTCTCTGATGTTGTTCCAGTAAGTGCCAATGCTGTTCATAATTGTTTTCCAGTGTCATTAAGAATTTGGTTTTTGTGCAAATTTCTGATCTGAACCTGGAAGCAGGTGGTAAATTTTAAGTTAGTTCCTACTTTTAAGGACAATGTTCTGTTAATGAAAACGGATCCTCTTCACAACTTTGGTGTATTGTAGATTATAACGAAAGATGTAAAATATTCAGGCTTTTTTCCTTTTTTGGACTTTGTATTTTACTGCATGTCTCTAATTTTTAATCAATAAAGAACAAATTGTCCATTGCCGTGTGATTTACATGTCATTGGGTTGAATGGTGTATTCTGGGGGAAGAGTTTGGCTGAGTGGTGTCTGCAGACCCTGGGGGATTTCTGTTTGGGGTGATGGGAGGTGCAACAAGCCCCAGGAAGACTTGGTGAGGATGAGGTGGGAATGCTCTGTGGGTGTTGTGTGCAGAAATGGAGCCAGGATGGCACTGAGGATTGGTCCTGCACTTGGGTCACAACCATCCCCTGCAATGCTACAGGCTTGGGGATGAGGGGCTGGAAAGTTGCCTGGGGGAAAAGGACCTGGGGGTGTCAGTCAATGGCAGCTGAATATGGGCCCAGGAGTGTGCTCAGGTGGCCAAGAAGGCCAACGGCATCCTGGCCTGCATCAGGGACAGTGTGGCCCGCAGGACCAGGGGCGGGGGTGTCCCCCTGTACTGCACTGGTGAGGCTGCACCTCGAATCCTGGGGTCAGTGTTGGGCCCCTCACTGCATGAAAGACACTGAGGGGCTGGAACGTGTCCAGAGAAGGGAACGGAATTGGGGAAGGGTCTGGAGCAAAATTCCTGTGAGGAGCAGCTGGGGGTGTTCAGCCTGGAGAAGAGGAGGCTCAGGGGAGACCTTACTGCTCTCTGCAACTGCCCCAAGTGAGGTGTGTCAGTCTTTTCTCCCAAGTAAGGAGCAATAGGACAAGAGGAAACAAAGTTGTGCCAGGGAAGGTTTATATTGGATATTAGGAATGATTTTTTCATGGAAAGGGCTGTCAGGCATTGGAATGGGCTGCCCATGGAGGTGCTGGAGTCACCATCCCAGGGGGGACATGGTTTAGAGGTGGCGTTAGCAGTGTTGGGATAACTGTTGGACTCAATGATCTGAAAGGTCTTTTCCAACTTGTTTGATTTTGTGAATGTACCCTGAGGGCTTGTCTTCAGGTGAAAAGTTGACTCCAAGCTCTGCATGCCTTGTGCAGCCAGGGATAGGGATGGTCTGGTTGTAGGCATGTTCCCCAAGCCTTCGGGCCGGGATGCACCCATCTGTGTTTGCTTAGGAATGTGCATGCTTTTGCTTAAAAACAAACACAGAACACACCAAAACAACAAAAAAACCCACTGTGGTGGTCTTGAGTGGTTGCACTTTCTAAGCTGCCTCTTCCATTCACTCTCCTTCCTAAGACTCTTGGGCTTAGTTTGCCTTTTTTTTTGGCTCTTTATTTCTCTTAAGGTGTTTCTCTTTACTCGCAGGCCCAGAAAACTTGATCTCAGGTGAATGTAACTTCCAAGGTGAAGACATGGGATGGTAAGGGACATTCTGGGTCGCTGAATCTCACCTCCTACATCTAAGCCAACTTTGCAGCATTTCCAGTACTTGGCCAAACGCTGCTTAAAAAGCCCCAGAGAGTTATATCCCAGTTTTGTCTTGTGTCCCTGCCTCTGCAGGAAATCTCTTTATGGACACTCCTAAAGGCTTTCCATGCTGCCTTCATCCAGTGCCTGACAACCAGAGGTTATCAATATTATTCTCAGCACAAATCTAAAATACAGCCTCATGCTAGCTCCTCTGAGGAAAATTAACTCTATCCCAACTAAAACCAGCACACGCCTCTATTTTATCCTCCATCTGCCTTTCCTAATTGACTTGAACAGACCCAAATTGTGTTGCCCAGCACCTCGGCCGGTTCCGTGTCTGCCTGATGCTCTATCTCTGGTGTCCCGGCTGAGCTGGGCTTATCCCGAGGGCAGAATTAGCTCCGGCTGCCCAGGGAGCTGCGGTACATCCAGGTTCGACCTGTGTGGGTGCCCTGGTCAACCCAGACAGGGCAGCCACGGTCTGGTTTCCATCATACTTACACAGTGTTCTTCCCACGGATCTGTGGGCAGGAGAAGGAGCCTCCAAGTTGCTTTTGGGCACCTCTGGAAGCTTTGCCTCTTGGACATGCCAAAGAGGCCCCAGGCAAATGCTGTTCCTACATCAGGGGTGGGTCGAAGAGAGTTGGCTTCATGTTCTCAGTGATGATTTTATGGCAGGAAGGCTTTTGGGCTGAGATTTGCCAAACCTGCCCCAAGCAACGTTGCCCTGGGTCGGAGTTCTCCCATCCCCGTATGCCTTCCCTGCGCATATTATCCCCCCACACGCTGTGGGGTGGCCCAGAACTGGTGGGAAGGGTGGTCGCCCCACGTGTGACTTGCTCGTGGTTGCACCGGGAAGCTGGAAAAGATGAAGGAAATGGAGTCTCCTGTTGCCTGGAGCCACCCTTCCGCATCTCCAGCTCTGCCCATCCGTTAGCATCATTCCCTTTATTCCCCTGGGCTTTTCCCACCTCTGCATCATGCTGGGCTGTCTTGGCCCCTCTGAACCTTGCTTTCCCGAGTGGAACTGCTGGGCACTGTCTCAGCGGCTCAGCAAATGCAGCACTTTTGCAGCTGCTTGGGAGAAGACCCTTTTCCCCATCAATGCCTCCAGGCCCTGGCCGAGGGGGTGACCAGGTTCCCTGAAACAGGGTTGCTCCTGCTCCAGCCGGCAGCAGCCACTGCCTGTTCGTGGGTGGCACAGGAACGTTTAATATTTTACACACTGTACCTAGGTAAAACATCAGGAATTAAGTCTGTCCTGACTGTACATGTTTGTGGTGGCTGCCTACGACTGCAGAGCTTATCTTAGGTTTAAACATTAATTCCAACCCTCTGGAAAGTCCATCCCAACACTGTCCTGTTCCAGACCCAGCTGCCCATGTCAGGCATCGGGGAAATTTTGAAAGCGGTTGGTGATTTTGGGCCTTTTCAGAAATGGCTGGTGCTGCTCACCTTGTTTCCCTGTCTCAGCGTGGCTTTCCACCAGTTTTGCCAACTTTTTATGGTCCCGCACGTGCCACATCACTGCAACACCAGCTGGATCCGTGCCGTTGGCCCCAACCTGACGGAGGAAGAGCAGCTGAACCTCACCCTGCCCCGGGACGCCGACGGGGCATACGAGCAGTGCTCCATGTACTCACCGGTGGACTGGGACCTCGGCTCCATCGTGGCGTATGGCCTGAACGCCACGGAGAAGTGCAGCGGTGGGTGGGTGTACCCCTCAGCACAACCGCCGTCCCTGCTGACCGAGGTCTGTAATCGCCTTGTGATGTGCCGGGGATGCGGAAGGGATGGGACACCCAAACGGCTGCCCTGTCCTGCACTTCAGTCCAAGCTGGTGCATCTGGGCTGGGCTGAGATTTACATCAGGTGTATTTTGGGGACCTTGGGTCCCTCACCCAGCCCCAGGTGGGGTCCTGGAAGGGTTGCACCAAGAAGGCTGTGATACAGCTGCCAACGGGGCCACAGGCAGGACCAGGGGAGAGATTGATGACTCCTGGTGGGACCGTTCGTGTGTCCCTGCCCCCGCTGCTCCTCTGCAGACAGCGGGTAACCTTCCAAGCTGTCCCTGCGCACAGCTTGGTGCTTCTGACACGCTTCCAGGGGATGGAGACAGAGCTCAGCGCTGGCTTTCTGCTCCCACCCATGCTGGGGAGCTGTCGGGGTGAGTGGCTGTGGGGTGTCCAGCTCGGGGTCTCCATGTTGCACCTCCGGGCTGTTGTGAACAGCCGGAATTCCTCACCACTCCTCGTGCTGTGCGGAGGTACCAGGTCTGACAAGGAGAGGAAAGCTTGAAAAACCACTCACCTAACGGTCAGCAGGAGCTTCAGCCACACCAATTGTGCTCCAGTGAGCCGTGCTGATCTTCCTTCCTCCGTGCTTTCTGACCTTTCTGTGTTTCCCATACGTGATCTTCCTTGTGTGACTCTTCTGTAGGTGCCCTCAGGATGCTGTCAGCTGCAGGACTCCTCCTTACCAGGAGCTGCCGGGCCCAGGAATCAGCATTACACTCATCTGTTTTCCTTTGGGAGGGCAGGCAGTCTGAGAGGAAGCAAGCTGCAGGGACATCTGTCCCAAGTACCACTTTGAGCAAAATTTGACAGCTAGGAGATTCCCCTGGGGGTGCCTGGGCTGGGGGACTGTCCTGCAGGTCCCGGTGCTCTGGAGAGAGGCACCACTGAGTGCCCTGGGGCTTGTCCCACCTCTGACTTGCGGGCTACGTGCATACCAAGGAGCCTCGCACCCTTGGAGGTGATCAGAAAGCATCTGGAGCCTGTCAAGAGCAAAAGCATCTGTGTTTCCTTCCTCCAGTTTGACCTGGTGTGCGACAGGAAGGACCTGAATGACATCTCCCAGTCTGTCTACATGGTGGGGCTGTTCCTAGGAGCCATGATCTTTGGGCCGCTGAGTGACCGGTGAGGAGACACAGCAGCCCATTCTGGGTCTGTGCAAAGCCGGCGGTGCGCAGAGGGGTGCCCGGCTGGGGGCTGCCCCCCGTGCGTTTGGTCACCTCACGCATAAGGTGACCAAAGTCCTCAGGTCCCATGAGGACAGGGCCACACAAGGGGGTGGAAGGGAGAAGGGCACGGCGTGTGCGCAGGGTGCTTCACAGGTCAACACGGCGTTTAGTCTGAGCCTTGTCACCCGAAAGAGAGGGTGATGCGATCACTGTGTGACCCCCTGGACTCATCCCTGTCTCCACGGGGTCTCTCAAGATATCTACTGGGTCTTCCGTCTTCCTCCCCAGGATCGGCCGCCGGCCAGTCATTCTGATCTCCGTCTTCCTCCAGGGCTTGTTCGGTGTAGGAATTGCCTTTGTGCCCCATTTCTATGTGTACGTGGCCTTCAGATGTGTCGTGGGGGCTTCGGTGTCAGGGATCACCATGACGATACTGGCCTTAGGTGAGTGGGGTGCCCATGCCCTGGGGCAGATGGAAGTGGCCCCTCAAGATGCAATAGAAAAGGTCTGTGAAGAAATAGAAATCACCATTTACAGCATCAAAAACACCGTGGTAAGGACAGGACTGGCTCTGCATTGCCCTTTGGCAACCCCCCAGCTCTGAGTGAGAGCCATGGGGAGCATCTCTCCCATGCCAGTGCTCAGGGGAGGGCAAGGGGACATCCTCCCAGCTCAGGGGGCCAGTGTGGGGAGAGAGCCCAGAGGCTCTGGGATGGGATTGATTTGGGCCCCAGCTTTGCCCCAGTGAGGATCTCAGTGGATGCTGAAAGCAAAGAGGTGACATACCTGAGCTTCATGTCCTCTCGCAGAGGAGCAGGACACCCTGACGATAAGGAGAGGTGATGCTTCTCATGAATCACAAGTGACTGACGTGTGTGACTGATGCCAGAGCTCTGACGGGCAATCTCCTGACCTCACCTCCAGCTGAGCTCCTCTCCAGGGGAAACACCCTGTTGGCATCAGGGAAAATCTTTTTCATGGATGACTCTGAAACTTGGCTCTTCTTTTCAGCTACAGAACCCGCCCAAAGGCAGTCCTTACTTCTCACTGCTGTGTCGCCATCGGGCAGATGCTCTTGGCTGGCTTGAGTTACGGTGTTCGCAACTGGAGGCTGCTGGAGATTGCAGGATCTGCTCCTATATTTGCCTTTTTCTTCTACATCCCGTAAGTGAGATGTGGGCAGAGGGCTTTGCAAACACAAAAAAAGCAAGTGTGAGGGGTGGCAGTGAGGGGGCAGC